TAGGGCAGATAACCCGTCCTTAAACAACCCGTTGCTTCGTCAGGAGCGGATGGGTTGTGGGTGGTTAGCCGTGATCTTCGAATGGGAGGGAGTTATTATTGAGAGTGATAGCCAATTAGAGAGGCAATCCTGGTTGATGTTGGCTCAAGAAGAGGGTAAGTCACCTCCCCCAGCGTTTATGTTGAGAAGAGTTGAAGGGATGAAGAATGAACAAGCCATTTCGGAGGTTCTTTGTTGGTCAAGAGACCCCACTGAACTACGAAGGTTAGCATCCCGAAAAGAGGCAATTCATCGAAGTCTACAAGGAGGGTTCTTTCAGTTGAGATCGGGTTCAAAGGAATTCATTACTACCCTACTGAGTCATAAGATCCCAATGGCGGTGGCATCTACACAACCAAGAGATAGTCTTCAAGAAGCCATTGAGGCGGTCGGTGTGCAGGGGTCCTTTGATGCAGTTGTGACGGCTGAGGATGTGTATAGAGGGAAGCCTGATCCTGAGATGTTTGTATACGTGGCTCAATTGCTTAGTTTTATACCGGAGAGATGTATTGTTTTGGGGAATTCGAATTCTACAGTGGAGGCAGCCCATGATGCCCGAATGAAGTGTATTGGGGTCGCAAGCAAGCACCCGGTTTATGAGCTTAGTGCAGCTGATCTTGTGGTTAGAAGGCTCGATGAGCTTTCGATTGTTGATTTGAAGAATTTAGCTGATGTCGATTCTCCAGAGTTCGAGCCTGAGGTGGAATTTGAGGAGGAAGAGGATCCTTCTCCATCTTCATCTGTGGCTGTTGATGACATAAACTGGTAACGGATTTCTCATTGTACAGTTTAGTGCTTTCCCTGTTCTTGTATTGGATGTATGATTTGAATTACATGAAAACTGTAAATTGATAACTTGGGGCATGTGGTGCCTCTCCTCCAAGCACTGTAAATACCAAAGAAAAAGGAGTAAAGAAGTTTTAGTTGTTAAGTACTGTATGAACTTCCCTTGATTACATATAATAAGTGCTATGCATGTTGGATTATGAGAATGTTTTTAGATGATATTGAATCTTGATTTAAGAAAATTGTTTCTTCATGTAATAAATGAATAGCTCATCGTGTGATATTTGCTATTTTGCGTACTTCAGTTTTATTTGGATAACCGCTGTGATATGTAAGAGTTATGTCTGACAATTATAAAACCTTATGTTGGTACATAAATATGCTCATTTTGGTATTATTGAGATTGCGTGTATAAATCAAATTAGATACACAGGGTTGTGATTTTCTTCTGTGTATGAATTTCTTTACCTGTTTGTATGAGAGGCAAATGAGTGGCAATGGGGGGTTGATATTGTTCTTCAATATACTACCTCTGTGCACATTTCACTTTTACTTCTCTTGTTGTCTACCTTAAAGTTTATATTTCACTATAGAGGAATATCTTTGGAGCTTTCATTTTTTTTTCACAGTATGCTATCATAAAACAAATAAAATTCCTAAATTTACCGAATATTTCTTTTGAAGTTAAAAATAGCATTAGTGGGAGGAGAGGAGATGATGGTGCTAGTAGAGGAGAAAAGGCAGCATTTAGTAAAAGTGAGAATAGGAAAATTGTAGGAAAGGAGAAAATTTAAGGGATGATGGTAATAAGATTAGTATATATATGTAGATAATGAAGCAATTGGAGGAGAAGTTGGTTCAACTTTTCAGCTATAAGTTTAGCGAAAAAGAAACTTATTTAGTTTTGAGGAGGAGGATGATACACCTTTGACTTTCTATTAGAGGGGAGTATCAGCAAGCTTTAGAGTTAAAATTTCTCGTAGGTATTTATATACAAGATTATATGTAGATTGGGTGACACTTTAAGGTAGTTGTTTGAATTATCCAAAAAAAAGTCAAATAATTGGGGTTACAGACATGGAGAAGTTAAAGAGATGCTCTGCAGAGGAAGTCAATTATTTATTATTAAACGATGTCTAATTGGCAGTAGTTTCTTCTGTAAGTTTGTGTTTCTTTATTGTTTAATTGAACATAGTTTCTTATAATGAAACTTATAAGGGAATTAATTGCCTCTAGAGTGAAAGATGCGACTGTGAATATAGAGCATTGTTTGTATTTGGGTTCTTTATGATGATGAATTCTAATTTACATTTGATTTCTTTTCATTCAAGAAAGTATTTAAGTCAACAGTCAAATGCTACATTTGTAGAAAGCTCTTTTCTTTCCATGCAAACGTGTCTTGTATCATTGAAGTCAACTGCTTGTGGTCGGTTATAAATGTAAATTAGAATTTGCTTCTTGTTTTGATCATCTGCCATTATTCATATATTATACCTATTGTTCGGAGAACAATGTGATGCCCCAATTTTAGTCCCACATGGAAAAATGAAAAGAGTTATTGAGGGTTTAAATGATGGGTTACGGGGTTCAAGAGTAGTATTGGCTAACCAATTTTGATAGTGGTTTGTGTCAAACAATGCATCTACTCAGTGGATCCCACAGCTTACACCGCGCCAACGAGGTTGTACAGTTCTATATCGTGTTAGTGCAGTGATAATATTGAGACAAATCAATTGTCATGTCGCGATGAGGATCTTGCATGTTTAATAAGGTGGGTGATGGGTGATTATAGTACCCCAAAAGTTTAGTCTCATATCAATAGGTAGCGGAATATATAAAGTGTTTATATAATAAGCTAAAAGTCTCAAGTGTAACATTAACTAGCTAATTTTGGCAGTGGATCGAGCCAAATCTCGCGTTACACTCAATGGGTTCTATGGCTTATACTATGCCACCGGACTTGAGGGCCCAGGGTGAAAAAAATAGAATCAGAGCTATAGAAAGTCCAAATACTTAAGTGTAACAATGGCTAGTCGAATTTAGTAGTGGTTTGACTTTGATCCAAACTCTTGAGCCCATTAGCACAATGCAAGTTGTGGAGCTCATTAAGTGCAGCGCATTATTTGGTTCAAACCACCGTCAAAATTGGCTAGCCAATGCTATACTTGAACCGTGTGATCCATCATTTAAACCCTCAATAACTCTTTCCACTTCTCCACATGGGAGTAAATTTGGGGGGTCACAACCATGTGCTGCAGCTGAGCAGTTTATGAATAGATGCTTGTTGAAAAATTGATATTGATTATCCTTGTGCAAATAGCTTGTGCTGTCTTTTAATCGTCTGAGATTTTTTTCTTTTTCTTGGGAGTGATAATTGTTGATCATTGCTGGTAATATTTGGCTTACTGGGAAAAGTTCTGACAATTATTGGGTTGAGACGTACATGTTTGATCATTTTGCCAAGATTTATTTGTTGTAAATTTCACTATTTTTTCTTCCCTAATGAGGCTAGTCTGATCATTTTATGAATTAAAGTTTTATATTTGGATAAATATATTTCACCTTTGATTCGCACTGAATATCCATATGTTTATTTAGGGGCTGTTTGGTTCGTTTTTTAACTCGGTGGAAAAGTTTTACACCGTCTCCACATCAGATTTTTCGTGGTCACGTAGGATATAAGCTTTCCGTTGGTTTTTTTCCCATCTTTGGTTCGCTAGGGTTGAAGAAGGGAAACTCCGTGAAAATCGCCGCCACATCAGATTTTTTTCTCTCCCCCGATTCCTTACTCAACCTCGTGAAATCGACGAAAACTATAGCCACGTCAGCTTTTTGCCATATAAACAAAAGTTTTCCCTTTTTTCCATGCGAACCAAACACAAGAATATAAACAAAAGTTTTCCCTTTTTTCCATGCGAACCAAACACAAGAAAAATAAATACATTGGTTTCCCACTATTTTTTTTAGTTTTCCCTTTTTTCCATGCGAACCAAACACAAGAAAAATAAATACATTGGTTTCCCACTATTTTTTTTTTGCGAACCAAAACGAAACAATCTATTTCTTGAAAAAGTTTGGAAAACTCAAAACTTGTGTTTTTATACCAGAAAATGCATTTTCCTATATTAAAGGAACCAAACAGCCCCTTAAAAGTAAATGTTTCGGTTGTGTACTCAAAGGATACGCAGTTTGTTAATAAACAGGCAGTTCAACACAACCAGATTATATAACGATCAGCACCTGAGATCATAAAAGATCAGAGTACAAAGAAAAGGAGATTTAAGAATGCAGGATATGGATATACATAAATTCACCGTCTTCATATATCAATTAATTCATACAAGCTCTAAATTAGTCGGTAAAGAAAGTATATTTATTTCCGTCAAAGAAGTAGATTACAAATCCGCGACGAATCCTTTGGTGATAGAAAACCCAAGCCTTTCTTCCTTTCAAGGCTGAGATTTGAACAATAAATAGGTGGTAAATGTTCTTTAGATCAATAACACTGTAAACTGTATTTACTCCCATTCAACAGTAGCTGGGGGCTTTGATGTAATGTCTTGGCAAACTCTTTACACCGCGAACATTATTGCAAATTTTCCGAACCACCTCAACAAGAAACTTGTGCTCGAAATAATACCTGAAGATTAAAAAAAAGTTTATTATGATTTGCCAAGTACAATATAGACGAGAGAATGCATCAAACTATTCAGTTTGGAATTCAATATTATATCAAATCTTAGGCCTATTTGGATATAATAAACACTTTTGAACAAATTGCAAAAGCAAAGATTGCAGACAGCGGATTTTTGTTGATTAATCCGAGTCAACATCAACAAAACATGAGATGCAAATTGCTTAATGTTCAACGTTCACTGCAACTACTACCATTCTACTTCTGACAATTTGAACCCTCTTAAACGTGACCTATAGAGCAAGCACATGTACACGCATGCACCAAAATTACATTCAGATATCCTGGAGTTCCTACCAAGTCCTAACTCGTAAAAGTACTATAAACTTGATCCCTAACTGTGTTTTGGATCACATACAAGGGTGCTATTTGGCTTTAAAGCTGTAAACATCCAACAGAAGATCTCTATCAAAATTTAGATTCAGCGATGCAGTATGTTTATCTCCATGCGCATGGGTGTCCCAGAACATGCATCTATAGATGGAAACAGGAAAAACCTAACAGTTCATTTAATTTCTTTCTCTGGTAATAATATGCTTCATAGGTTGCTCATACAATGACATTATAACAAGACATTTAAAAGAAGTGCGTGTATCTACATAATGGAAATAGTTTTGTCTCCCTGATAATATGTTAAAGGAGATGATGCCAATCGATTTGTTGACACTCGTATAAATGTGTTGAACCAATCATAGTAAAAGGAGCTAATAATATAGCTTGAAAAGTCTATTAAGTTATCACAATTATAATGTTATGAAAGGTTTATTATTTCTCCACTCATCTCTTTCTTTCTTCTTGTCCAACATCCTCTTGCTCTTCCTTCTCCCTCCCATCTCTTAAGTTCTTTTCCACTTCACTCCGCAATCCAAACACTCAAAAGGAAAAGTCACGCTAGTAGGTATGCTGATAATGTGCAGTATTAGTAGATATGGCCTGGAATGGTAGGAACACCCCCAACCCACCCCACACCCCCACACCCCAGGTCATAATTAATTCAGTTAGGGAAATCTAGCATGTAAAAGTGGAAAAGTTATAATGATGTAATTCTGTATGAATGATTCAAAAATATAGCCCTATATATCATTTTAGTAAAAAGTTTATCACTCACCAATCTGCAGTCATTCCGTCCTCGCTGGTGATTGCTCTAAGAACAACAACGTGAGAATGAGTCCGCTGGTCTCCTTCAACCCCCACAGACTGTACAGGCAAAGACACAGTAAAAGCTTGCCAAATTTTGTCATAGAGAGCCAGCATCCTTGATTGACTGAACGAATATCTTATCAACCTGGGAACATAATAGAAGAGTCAATGACCAAAAGAACTAATATTTTACTAATAAAATATGAATAGTTAAGCGCATTGCACATAATGTAAATATGAAACCTGTCGTAGAATATCCAATGCATTCCCTTCCGTAACATCACCCAGGACTAGAACAGCAAGGCCAGGTCCAGGGAAAGGGTGTCTTTTCAAAAATGCTTCTGGGACATTCAAAGTCCCCCCTAATTTTCGTACCTTGCAGGAAAAAATATTAGCAGATAGAGACATAAACCAGCAGAGAACAATGAAGAACAACATTCACATGATAGAATGGATCAGGCAAACAAATAGTAAATTATATCATTTGTAATGCATAGCTAAAACAAAGCTTAAATTATAAACTCAAAAATTAAACCTCGTCTTTGAAAAGGAGCTTAAGTGGTTCAATGAGTTTTAATTTCATGTCTTTTGGAAGCCCTCCAACATTATGATGGCTCTTGATTGTGTGTGAGTGGGATCTTCCACTTCTGGGCGGTGGGCATGACTCTATAACATCTGGATACAGAGTTCCCTGAACCAAGAACATGGGTCTCTTCCCGAGCTTCTTTTCCGACTCCGAAGCAAAATCATCAAAAACATAAATGAATTCTCTTCCAATAATTTTTCTTTTCATTTCTGGGTCTGGCACCCTTGAGCTTACTAAAAAATCGATCAGATGCATCGACACAAGTGACGGGCAAATGAAGATCACTTTCAAAGGTTGCCATCACCCGTTCTCTTTCTTTGTACCTACAGAGACATATTCTTTTTAGCATTTAAAAGACAATTATGGACATTATTTTATTCCTAACAAGGATTAAAAACAAAAGGGAATTGAACCTTAATAAACCATTGTCAACAAAGATACAGTGAAGCCTGTCACCAATTGCTTTGTGAACAAGTGTAGCAGCAACAGTGGAATCTACTCCACCCGATAAAGCACAAATAACATGTTCATCGGTTCCTACCATTCCTTTGATGACTTTAATCTCTTCGTCAAGTACATCTTGCATCTTCCAATCAGCAGTTACACCACAAATATCAATTAGAAAATGACGTAATGTTTCCATTCCATGTGTTGAATGTGTGACCTGTAAAAAATTCAAAAGAGAGCACATGAATTTACCTAAAGAGCAGAGTAGCAAAAATGTAGGATAGAAGTCTGATAAGATCAATGAAAGGATTAATAAAACAGTAAAATAACTTCCAATGAATCATTAGTAGCAATTATAAATAGATTGTCTGCAGTAGATATTATTATGTGTTGTCATCCACAAAAAGTATGATCAGTGCCGGAGATGTTTTATGCAATAGCTTCAGAAACATATCAATATGGATTGCTTTACCTTTTGTGCATGAATAATACACGTGCATATTAAAATGGATTTAGAGCAATGAAGATTTCAAGGAAAAATGATATAGTTGGCATAATGGCATATGATACGGAGAAGAACAGATAAAAGAGTTGCCTGTAATACGAATATTTGGTTCTCATATATGGAAATGGAAGAATAGCAGGAATTGTTAATAAGTAGCTATTAAACTTTAAAATCAACTTCATTCCTGACTAAATTATTGCCATATAACTATTTATGTATACATACAGAAACTAAACCACCCTCAAAGATGAATCACATCCCAAACTTTCATATCCGATGATAAGTACGAAAGCACATGAAATTGAAATTTCCAATAAACAGTATAAAACACTTGCTTTCTATATATTTGAAATTTCCAACAAACAGGTTAGACACTTATTTTCTATACATACAAGTGCTAATCACACGCTAATAAGTAATAACTAACTTATCATTTTTCCTGATAATGAATTAAAGATGTATATTCTGAATTGATTACTCTGTAACAAGTCCCAGAAAGTAAATATACTCTACTATAGCTCAGCTTTACATTGCCCTTGTAGGTCAAGTGAAAAGAATACTAATGTCACTTTTATTGAGAGTGCTCGACATGTTGTTTAATAGAAATGGTCAAACAACAACTACTTTCAGTTTTCATTGTTTACCAGGTAATTGTCACTATATCATTTTTCCATTAGCTAAGTTACAAGTTATTTCTGTCCCTTCCTCCTTGGTTCATTTCCACTTTCTTTCCTTCCTTTCCCCTGCTTTTTTCTGCATTTTCTCTTTCACGAAGACCACTTATTTGATTTTGGCAATTAACAAAACTTAAAGTAGAGTCTACATGAGTAGACATGCACGTCATGTGAAATAAGCATTGACAAAAGGAAAAGTAGAGAATGTCCCCCAAACATTAGCCTGTAATCTGATCTATTAGAAATTTTGATGTCTTAAAGAACGGAATGCTATTTAAGCCTTTTCATTTTCCAACAGTCAGCAGAAAAGGACTCAATTCCTGAGGTCTAATTAGGATAATTTCCACACAGACAAGAAAGATTAGGGGTGCAAGTTTGGGTCAGCAGATGGTACTTTAAGTTCATACACATGCTCTATAGTGACAAAGGAAATGTTGTCTACGCCCCATCCCTACAACACCAGGTTGTTGCAAATTTCATGTGCACAACCTGACCAATATGTATATGTTTGGTAATGTGGTTAAAGTTGGGTTTGATTTGGGAACAAGGGCCGGATGAATATGTAGTGTCATCAAATTTAGTATAAAAATCAAAATTTCAACCTAAATCCATCACAATTATTTACGAGAAACTCAAAATTGAAAGCATAATCAACGTACTTCTTGATAAGACTATAGTTGACCAATTTATATTATTAAACAACATATGAATTTCACATACAATTTAACAGACAAGAAAGAGAAAAGGACCAATAATACCAGGATGAGTGATTAGAAACGAATCAACGATTATCTCACATTTTAATTGGAGCCAAGGCTACAACAATACCAGTTGAGAAACACTGAGCATCCCTAACCTGAGTTTAAATTGAGTTATAATTGCTTTCATCCCTACTCTAAGTGGATAGTAAAGTGTCAGACTCTGTCTGGAAAGTGAGTTGATTTGGGTCTACTTGGTCCGGAAGCCCATCAAATTATCACCTCCTAGATAGCATTATTTTTATATTCTTATACTTTCTAATGAAAAAATAGGTCATTCTGATTCCTGGAGAGTGATTTTCAAATCCCTTTTCAACAAATCCACAAATTTTTTCTTCTTTCTATTAAGAATAAAATGCCAACTAAAAACTACTAGGTGTTGTAGAATATGTTGCATCCTTTTGCAATTTTCCAATAGAAAAACTTGTGTATAAACCTCTGACTCATATTAGAATGAATAACCGCTAGTCATGTTAACTAGTTAAAACTAACAGGCTATCAGCGTTGTAAATAGTGGCCACAATAATGGTAGTGGCCTATGCCTGCACTACTATGGTTAGCGGTGATTTTTAGCGGCATTGGCGCT